TTCCACTTGATGTAGTCCCTTGCTTAGGCTTTCAGTTTTATTTGTGTATAACTTACTGCGCTGTTCATTTCTAAGATTTCTGTTTGCTTCTTTTTTCAAAATTTGCCTCTCTGCTGAATTTTTCCCTCGGATCCTGCACTGCCTTCCTAACTTCATTTAACCACTCATCTGTGTTCTCTTGGATCTCCTTGAGCTGTTTTATAATTATCCTTTTAAATTCTTTATCGGGCGTTTCATCCATAAGATTTTTCTGCAGCTTTTTGGTAAAGTTGTCATGTTCTGCTGCAGGCGTCGTGTTACCTTGGCTTCCGTTTCTCACGCTCCCACACCGAGCTCTGTATACCTTGTGAACCAGATCTCTACCACTTCCTAGGTAAGTGGCTTTCTCTTGAGGATATAGCTAGGGCCATTGACTTGTTATGCAACATTGTTGGGTTTTGTTTTTGAGACAGGGTCTCACTGTGTAGTTCAGGCTCTCTGTGTAGCCCAGGCTTGCCTCAAATTTGTGGTGATCCTCCTGCCTCAGACTCCCCAGTGCTGGGATTATAGGCATTAACAGGGTGCTCATTTGGGTAAGCAATGGGCAGGACCATCCTTGCCCTGGAAGCCTCCTCACTACTCTGCCTCCCTAGCAGACATGCCAGGCAAGAGGAAATGTGTGTCCCCGTGGGCTAGCAAGTCTGGCGGGTTCAGGAAGGATCTTGGTTCATTCCCTCATGGTGCCTGGAGCAGGGATGGGGACAGAAAGGCCTGTCTCTGGCTCTTGGCCTTCCAGTGGGAAATTAGAAGGCCTCACCCCAACCTCTCCAGCGCGAGCTGGTGCCTCCTTGTTGGTGTTGCCCCATCAAAGGGTCCCTGATGGGAAAGAACGCTGGCCCTCGCCCCAAAGCCTGCTTCTAACCAGCTGCAGGACCATAAGCCTCAGCCTCCTCGGCTGTCAGATTGTGACAGGGACCCCTGTGCACCTCACAGAAAACATCGGCTCAGTGAGGTACTGCACTTGAGCATGCTGAGTAAGCCACGAGGCACAGTGCAAAACAGAACCATAACTTTGTTCTGGAAGGGTCCTTTGAGATACCAGCCAGTGATTTTCAGAATGAATTTTTACTGAAATGGAATCCTACACTGAAGCTCAGTGGATAAACCTGGCCCATCCTGAGGGGACCTGGGCTTGGAGCTGTCCTGCTGGGAGGGCAGGTGCGAGACAGCAAGAGTGAAACGGGCCCCCTAGCCATGAGCCTTGGGTGCTGGCTTTTCCCATGATGCTGAGTTACCGTTTGGGGCAGAGTGGGTCCAAGCTAATGGAAAAGGAAAATTCAGATCATTTATTCTTACTGCAAAACTGACAATAATGTTTACCTCAGGGCTATGTCTAAAGTTCAGCTCTGAGGTTATGGTAGGGGTTTGAAAAATGAAATCAGTCAAACAGAGATGATGAAACCAGTATGAGGCCACATGAAGAGGAGGAGGAAAGGAAACACTGTAACAGCTTATTCACACACTACCCATCAGGAGCCCATGTAACTTGCACAGCATAAATCCACCTGGGACCGCTGTCCCCATCCCATTAGCCCATGCAGGACAGAGGTGGTTTGGGAGTGGGTAACATCGCTTCTTTTGCTCTAGCACGGACCTCATGACTGGCAGGGGAATGTACTGACAGGCTTGGTACTGTGCCTGCCTTCGGGAAGCTCGCACCTGAAGGAAATGACAGGCACACTTCTCCCAGCAGGCTGCAAAGGTCTGTGGGAGTGTGACTGCCGTGCTGAGCACCCCCAAGAGGCCCGTTCTGACTTGGGGTGGGGAAATCGGGACATTACGTGGAGCAGCCGACGCCTAAGCGAGTCCCAGCTGTCTTGTGGGGTTAGGAGGAGGACTGGGTGGGAGGAGGTTCAAGGGGGTTGTGGGCCATGAGCGGGGCTTTCCCAGGACCTGAAATTCTCCAGTATGGTAGGGGCACAGAGAATGACTGGGGCTGGCAGGCAGGAAAGCTGAACAGCGTCACAGTTTGATGGTGCAGACCCGCCCCCGAGGGCCCACCCACAGAGACGTGCCACACGGCACCCTCGTGCAGCAGCAGTTACAAGGCCCCGTGCGGCCTGGAAAGAGAAGCAGGAAACCAGGCGCAGACACAGAAGGCAGACCATAGCCAACACGTTGCAGAGGGAACGCTGGGGAACGCTGCTTATTTGAAAGAGGTTTGAGGGAAATGGGGAGGAACAGCTATGGGCAGTGTCTCCCTTGTGGACATTTGTAAGGAGCTGCCGCAGCAGGAGACCTGACCTGACAGTGCAGTGTGGCTCAAGCTTACTTCACCTTGGAACGTTCACTGTCTTCATAGCACCCATTGCAGCCCCGCAGAGCCAGACGGCCAGGCCTCCAGAGTGAGCCTGCTCAGCACAGGGGCGTCCGGACCGTGGACTGGGGTCTTTCCTCCGATTCCCAGGTACACTCCTGCCGGGTAGATGTGAGCAGAGGCCCAGACAGCACCACTGAGTCCTGCAGGCAGGCCTGGCACGCAGACCGAAAGTACCTGTCCAAATGCACGGCGGCGGCTGCCCCCCGACCACTTGGTGACTAAATGCAGCTCAGGTTAGCAGGTGGAGCACTCCACCCCAGATTGGCAGAGCTGTCAGAACTACTTTTGTCTTCCCCACGGGGGCTGCTGGTTTTATCCTGATTCTTGAGGGAGGGTGTAGCCTTGCTTCAGGGGCCAAAGCTCTGGGTCACCTCCTGGGGGGTGAGATCCTGGTGTTCTGGTGGGCTGCCTTGCCCAGCAGTGCTGACACTTTGGAAGGAGCCAAGAGCCTTCAGAGGAATCAGTGGAGAGACCCCGGCCCTCGCGAGGCAGGCTCAGGCTGGGAGTGCGCGGGCTGCG